CTGTTCATGATAACTTATAGGGCTGAAAAAAAAAAAAAAAGAAAAAGAAAAAATATGTGAAACCTACAAAAAGTATATACTACTTCTATGAAAAGCCCTAATCTCCTATCCACTCACACAAAATAATAATTCACTAACAGAGGAAGAATCTGAGATACAACTAAGAGATGAAATATGTAGAACTTGGTGACCTATAATCTTGGGGGTCACAAGAGATAAGAATACATTAAGGCTCCTTTTTGGCAACTGGATGGTGCCACTCCCAGGGATAGGAAACATAAAGGAAGGCAAGTTTGAAAATAAAGGTAATTTGTTCAGGGACTCCCTGGTGGCACAAGGGGTTAAGACACAACCTATGAAGCTATCCGCAGCCACTTCAGCACCGAGTTCGATCCCCAGCTGGCCAGGGAGCTACCACATGGCGCAGCAGACTCTCCTGATTTACCCGCTGCTCCCCTCAGCAGTGTATTTCAGTCAGTCTGCCTGTTCTGTTCCCCACTCTGTCTCTGGTGACCTCTCTCACCATACCTCTCACCTCCCATATCTCTGGCCTGCACCCCATTTCTTGTATGCATAAATAAATAAATCTTTAAAAAAAAAGAAAGGTAATTTGTTTATCTTGAACTTGGTGGTTTTGAAAAAGGAACAGTATGTTCCAAAGAAAATATCCAATACAGTGTTGAGTATGTGAGTGTGGATCTTGTCAGAAGCTATGGATGCATGATCATTTACATCATCAGGAGATGATGAAAACCATGTGCTTGGGGAAATCACCAGGTAGTTTATGTAGCATGAAAAGAGAAGAGAACCAATAAAAGTGCTTTGGGAATACTAGGCAATAAAGAGGAAGCACACCACTATGGTCCAAATGTTTGTGTCCCCCAAAATTCAAGTGTTGAATCCTACACAAGGTGATGGTTTTGGGAGGCAGGCCCTCTGGGGATGATTAGGTCGTGAAGGCAGAGCTCTCATTAATGACATTAGCATTCTTATAAGACACCCCAGATATCTGCCACCTCTTACTCCATGGGAAGAACAAGGAGGAGCCTGGAATGAACCAAGAAGAGGGCCCCACCAGAACATGACTATTCAGGCACTCTTCTTGGACTAACTGGCCTCCAGACTGTGAAAACCAATTTGTACTGTTTTTAAGTCATCCAGTCATGGTATTTTTGTTGTATTAGCTCAGACAAACTAAAACACATACCAAGGTGGTAATGAAGGGAAGCTACAGGAACCCACCCCCAGGCTCTGGTGGGGGGCCTGAACTTCTCTCAGGGAAATGGCCTGGATACCAAGGTCTCCACTCTGACAGCTGGGGCCAGCTGGGAGTCTAAATCACACTGAATATCCTTCATCACTGCTAGAAAGAGAAGTGATAAAGGAGAGCTAACGTGTCATCTGCTTTGTCTGAGTTAGAAAATGTATCCTCATTTTCAGAGGAAGCAGGAACACAGTTCCTAGCTGGCAGTCAAGTGGCTTTTCAGTCACAGATACCTTCTCCCCCAGATCCAAAGGCAAAGAAGCTGGGAGAATAGTCATCTCTCTTTGCTCATATATTATTGAACAATCTATCCCTTTTTGCATACACACAGAATAAGAATCATATTAGTTCAATTGGATTAGTTCAATGCATATCATTTGTAAGCCTCCTGGGGAAAGATGGGGAATATTTTCCTTTGTTTTCAGAAAATCTGACTGAAGCAGATCATACATATGTTTATAAAGGATAAAGAGCCAGATTAATTTAAATTGGTAAAGCTACAGAAGTGTTAGTCATAGACATCATTTATTAGCAAAAGCCATCTCAAAAAAATTGAAATAAAAAAATCATACATGGGTAGTTGAAGTTCATTAAAATATACTCTAATTTAGTCCTTACATAGAAAATCCCAAGGTAAACGAATTTTTAAAATAAATCCTATTCTTCTATCTTTTATTACAAATGCCAAGGTAAATTTACTTATCAAAATCAAACACAGTATGAGAAAAAAACAAATATATTGAAAATTAAGTACAAATTTAGTAAATATGGAATGGTATAATATAAATGAAATAAAAATATTCTGACCATTCCTTTATCTATTTTTTTCTGTTCTTAAAAATAAATTTTTCATGAATCCCAAACTCAGTATTAGCTATTAAAAGTTAGCATTAGAACCACTGTGTCTAATCTAGTCATTTTTAATAAATTCTAGTAAAACCAGAACAAAGGAATCTAGAATTTGCTGGCTCACTGGCTCAGACTCTGAATTTTTTTTATTATATAGGGATGTTTGCTGTTCTTTATTATATAACTGTACTAAATCTATATTTCAATTCTTCATGAAAAATAAGATTAATCTCCATCCAGGAATAGACCAAAAATTCCATGCTTAATCATGCACTTTTTTTCCTCAGCCCAGATGCAGAATATCTTTAACCCTGTTAAACTAAGAAAATGCAATAATGCTGAATTTCAAGAAGGGAAGATGATTTGCATCTATGCTAGATGACATTTAAAATCCCTGTGTCCTCTTGGCCTTCCAAATACATGTGACTCTTAACATGAAAGAAAGAAATCAGAAAAGAAATAAAGACTAAGGGAAAAAATTGAGGCCAGATGACAGGCTCATTAAAATGTGCAGAAAGCATCTCAGACTCCCTCGAGAAAGCTGTTATAGTGAAATAATCACATTGACGAACACGGGAAGAGTGGACTCTGGCAGGGGCTTCTATTGCACCCAAGAAGTTGGTGATTATATCCTGGAAATGTGACCCCCATGAAAGCCCGGCTGCTTTGTTGCTTAATAGAGTTCACAGAAAATGCTTGTCTCCAAAATGAGATTTCTCCCCTATTCACTGTGCAGCCTGGGAGCCTTGACAGGATGGGTAGGGGGCCATTTCTCCTAATCAAGGGGGGTGAGGACCCCTGGGGAGGAGGGGAATATTGTAAGCAATCAAGCTCAACTGTTGCAGGAAAGAGCACTTGCCTTCTGCTGGTTGTCAAATGGTCATAGCAGAAGGGTTAGGGAAGTTGTTAAAATTTGGTAGAAAAAAGGGATAATGGATCGGATGGACCCATTTTTCTCATCAATTATCCTGTTTCCACCTCTGAGGCTATGAGAAATAGTCTTTTACTGCCTATACAATGACTGCAGACTGTCTATATAGGCTGCATAGCTCTTAATTGAAATCTTTGCTCGTTTTTCCATTTTCCTCCCCTTGTTGGTTCAAATATTTCATGTATACATTAAAGAAACAAACAATACTCACTAAATTGATGCCCTAAATGGGACAATTTTCTTTTTAAGGTCACTGGCCAGTGAGAGAATAGGACAGTGGGAGGTGAAATGAAATTGTACAGTCAGGCCTACATGGGCTTATAGACAGGGATGCATTCACAAATCCTGATGATTTCTGATTTAAACATAATTTATATTTTTAAATGAAAAAGAAAATAGCATAAAAGTGTATATTCTATCATTCCTTTATTTGCTAAACTATGGATTTGCATGTGTTATACATAAGAATAAAAATGCACTAGAAAGATCAGAAAAAGATAATGTTGACCACTTTTAGGCTGGGGTCAGCTGGAGTAGATTAGAAGCAGAAATGTAGGAAAAAGAACTCTTTAATCCTCAATATAGGTCTTCATACCTTGAAATATTCCATAAAAATGCATTCAATTATTACCTGTACAAACTAATAAGTACTTTTTTTTGAAGATGAAAAAAAAATGTGATTTGTCCATGACTGCATTTGGATATGGCTGTGAAATAAAATTTTATCAGACTCAAGGATTTCCAGACACAATCTTAAGCAAGGGGAATTGTAAAGCTCACACCAGGGAGGGTTCTGTCTCATCCAGTTTCCCTGAGGTAGGTCAGAGATCTCTATATGCTTGGGTATCTTTTTATCAAAATAATCAGGTTTCCCTTGGAGTTTCCCAAAATGTCCCTGAGGCAACATTAAAAGCTCTTTAATTGGTTTGTAGCTCTGTGTGTAACATGCCAACCCTACTAAGGTGTATAAGTGTGGGCCCAATCTGGATATGCTAAATAAGTTGCTACCCAAATTGGTATGATTCCCCTGTTGTGGGTACACAACATTTATATTAGAAACTTAAGAAAAAAATAACTTAAAAATGCCATGTTTCTGGGCCTCCCCAGTGGCACAGCACGTTGAGCACAGCACTGTGAAGCTGTCTGAATGCAGCCTCTGCAGCATGGGTTCAATTCTGGCAGGCCAGGGAGATACCCACATGGCACGGCAGACCTCTCCTGCCACACCCACTGCTCCCCGCAGAAGTGTATTTCAGTCAGTCTACCTGTTCTGTTCCCTACTCTGTCTCTACTGAATTCTCTCACACCCCCCCCACACGCCTCTGGCCTGTACCCCAGTTCTCGCATAAATAAATCTATAAAAAATTTTTTTAAGAAGATCCATGTCTCTTCGTACAAAAACTTTTACAACCCTATGCTGTAGTTCATATGCTGAGCAGTTCAGGACACATCCTACGAATTCAGACACAGCTCACTTCCTAAATGAGACAAAAACTGTCTAGCAAATCACATCTAACAGTTGGAAACACGAGATAAGAAGCCAAGAAAAAATATTTTTTGACTGTGGAGTTCCAACCTGAGAATTAGGCTCCAGACTTAGTGCAACCTGGAGTCCAAAAACCTCTTAAGGTATTTGTTTGTGAGAGGTAGGCCAGCCCTAAGCCAACCCACGCCAGCTATGCAGCATTGGGTGGCAAATGAGTCAGGAAATGTTAATAACTGAAGCCAGCCATCCAATCATTCATTTTGCGCTCTCTCCAACTTGAAAAGGCAGGTTCAGACTATACCACATGCAGCTTCTAGAACTGAAGGCCAAATTGGCCCAGATGTGTGAAATCCTTTTAGCTCAATCCATTATACTAATATGTGACAATTACGAACTAAGTCTCATTTAACATGCCTGGATGTTCAACATTTAGAAGCAATAATTACTGAAAGGAGTGAGTTGTAACAAACCTGTTTCCCGGGCAAAGTTGGTTGACAAGGCACCCCACTGGTTATAATGCAACCATCAGGCCGAGCTTTTTATATTTAATGTTGAACAAATTATCCTTTGTAAATGGCAGATTGAGTATTCATGATGTCAATCTTGCATTCCACTCAAATACATTTTCATTTCACACAACATCTTGAATCTAGCTGAGGGAGGTCCCTAAAAATACAGAGCTAGAATTAATTCAAAAGAAAGTAGAACCACTGTTAAATAAATAAAATAACAGAAAAGAATGCATTTGGTCAACGCACCCTCAAAGAGTGACTTCCAAAACCCTAAAGTCTGTATCTGCCTCTGCAGCCTGAGCAAGAATATCAGGAGGAAACTGGGTTGAAAGGATAGTACCTCCTGGGGAAGAATTGTGTGTGCACTATGACAAGTATCTTACGTTACAAAAATATACAGAAATTAAAGTTGTAAGACACTGTCAGAGGTCATCTAATCTGAAACACTATGGAAATCTCCATTTAAAGGGAAATTCAAACTCTGTGATTATTCTTCATAAAGGGTTACTCATGGCCTGAAAGGAGTCTGAATTTTTGGACAATTTGCTCCCCATATTCTTAATCATGAAGCACAACCTGCAGTCTTTATTTTCTACCCATCTGATCCTCCTGAGCAATATGTCCCAACCAATTTTAAGCCATAAACCTCTTCCACTAAAACATAAAATCACATAATTCCCCCTTAAAAATATTTTAAACCATATTATTACCTTATGAGGAATAAACCAAAAAATAATATTATCTCTTTTGTTTTTACATAAGGATATTACTAAACATTCTATTAGAAGGTTTATTGTAATTGTGAACACAGAGTAACGATGCAAAGGTACTTTTTGATTTTTCCCTATTTATCAAGTACTATATAGTACTATATACCGTGTAATTTACTTTCATCATATGAGGAAATGCATTCATATTATGTTGTATACAGTTTGGTGATAGACTGAATCGTGAACTAATGACTGACTTTTAAATAACTGTTTCAGTATCAAGAATACTGTTTATTAGGCACTGCAGATAAAATGGTGAACACTCTGTAGAGCCAGTCTCTACAGAAAAATGAATGAACTAAATAAAACAAGAATAAACTCTTAGACTACAAGGGCATAATAGTGGTTACCATAAGGGAAAGGAGGTGAGAACTGAGTACATGGAGTAAAGGGGTCAACTATGGCGATGGACAGAAACTAGAAATCTGATGAACGCTCGGCAGTATATTCACATGTTGATTTAAAGTCTCTTACTTAAAGCCTATGTAATTTGGAAGCCAGTATTACTTCAATAAAAAAGTACATAATAAAACATTATTCACACAGAACACATGTACAATACCTATATCTGACAGCCTCTAACCAAAACATATGAAGAACTCTTATTAGAGAATCGCTAAAAAGAAGAACCTCATTTAAAAACATGCCAAATCCTGGACAAGCACTTCATAAAAGAGAATAACCAAATGGCTAAGAAAAAAAAAAAGTGGTCCTCATCAAAAAAAGCGGTTATCATCACAGGAATGCAAATTTAAAACATTATAATACCACCACATTGGATAAAATGAAAAAGATAATATCAAGTTTTGTCTAGACCGAAAAACAACCAGAACTCTTATTTGCTGCTAATGGGAATCCAACTGAATATAAATTTTTGGAAAACTGGTCGCTAAAGATATATCAACTGGAGACTGATTTTTCTATAGCCCATATAAATGCCTCTTCTAGGTATACATGCACTAGAAATAGGCTCATAACTTCACTGTGAGACACATAGAAGTATTATTATACTATGATATTATTATATCATAGTAGCCCCAAACTAAAAACAACCCAAGTGCCTCAGCAGTAGAAAGTATAAAAAGAATTGAAATACAATCATGCAAAGAAACATCAAACAGCAAACTCCCTGGTAGAACAGGAGTTAAAGTCTCAGCGCTACCAAGTTATCACCAGCCACTGCAACATGAGTTTGATCCCTGGCCAGGGAGCCGACCCATATGGCACAGCAGACCTCTCTTGTCTCACCCACTGCTCCCCTCAGCAGTGTTATTTCAGTAGATCCACCCGGTCTGCTCCCTACTCTGTCTGTGGTGAATCCTCTCAAACCCTGCACCTCTGGCCTAGACCCCAGTTCTTATATGCATAAATAAATAAAACTAAATCTTTAAAAAAAGGAAACATCATACACTAGTGGGAATTAACAAATTTTTGCTACATCCAAAACATGAAAGTATTTCACAAACTTAAAGTTGAGCAAAAGACACAAAAAGAGCATATCCTGTATGATTCAATTTTATAAAATTCAAAAAGATGCAAAACACATCTATCATGTTAGAAGTCAGGTAGTAAGTACTAGGGGAAACAGAGATTGGGAGAGGGCATAAGAGGGGCTTCTGGAATGTCAGCAATATTTTGTTTTTTATTTGGGGGCTGTTATGTGGGTAACAGCTTTGGAAATTCACACTTATGATCCTGTACTTTTCTAAACAAAGTTATACTTCACAAACATTTTTCAAATTACTTTTAGCAGTAAATACAACAGCAATCCTTTATTACTATGACATCATTTTGTAATTTCCAAGCTGTTTTCACACATGTCTTATTTGATTCTCTCTTTAATTCACTGATTCATTCATTTATTCACAAAATTTAGTATCTCTCATATATCTCCTAGCACAGAAGGACCATTTCTAGATGATATAAGATTTAAAAATTTAGTGAGACATGGTTATTGGCCTCTCGATGCTTGTTTGGAGCTAAAAATTTAAGACATATCAGTTGTGAAGAAGTACCAGCAGCGATAATTTATTAAGTACCTCCATATACATCTGTGCATTACAAACATTCTCCACCATTTAACGACTGGGAGAAAACAGTTTCTAATATCATTTCTATTGTCTTCTAAAAGGCTTTAGTTTCATATGAAAGAAAATAAAATAGAATTCACTGAGAGAAAGAAAGGAAATTTGCTTCACGACTCTGTGTCCAGAGGGATAATGTAAAGGATGGCGTGTTGACCTGCCCTCTCCAGTAATGTGCTATCTCTAGCTCAGAGGACTAGAGGGGGACTTGAATCAATAGGCACCAGAGGCCTCCTTGGTGGTGCAAGGGGTTAAGATGCAAACTATGAAGATATCCACAGCCACTGCACACACGAGTTCAATCCCCAGCCAGGGAGCAACCCATGTGGCACAGCAGATCTCTCCTGACTCGCCCGCTGCTCTCCTCAGCAGTGTATTTCAGTCAATCTGCCTATTCTTCCTTACTCTCTCTCCCATGAATCCTCTCAACCCCCCACACCTCTGGCCTGTACCCCAGTTCTTGTATGCAAAAATAGATAAATCTTTAAAAAAAAGGGCACCCCAAGCCATTCTGCTGTACACTTTAAATTTCTGCAGTGATATATGATAACTATATCTCAATAAAACTGTAAACAATAATTAAATTGACTTGTAGGCACAGAAATTTAATGTAACTACAAATTCCATTCCAATGTTTATTTTATCTCACATGGCAACACTTAAGAAGGACTACATACTAAATATTTGTCAAAGTTATTTACTGAAACTCAAAAAAATTTCAACTTTTCAAATAAAATACCAATCTGAAAGAAATGAGGAGAGCTGCAAGCTTGACCATGAAAATGGAATAAGTATCTCCAAGAAAAGTTTACTGCTAACATTTAATGAAATGCAGGTTTCACAAATGAATATATCTCCCATGAGTTAACATGTAATAAAGTGTAATGTGTAAGAATGCCAGTTATCTAGCATTGCAATTAGCACTTCAAAGCATATGAAAAAAAGTTTACAAGACTAATTCTGTAACACCCATGAAATTTTAGATTCCCGATTCAATCATTTTTGATATTTGAATATTTCTTTTTATTTGTCCAGGGTAGCACTTGATTTTACCATGTTTGAGCCACGCATAAAATAATTATCTTTTATTATTGGTTGCTCTGCTACCACTGAAACATTCACTCAACCTTTACTGTGTGACATTCCAGCTGCCATGTTCCAGACACTTTGCTTGTCACAGAGAGGGCAGCTAAATAGGGCACTTCAAGTGGGGCAGGATAGGTGGGAGCCCTCAACCTTTAGAGGGGCAAGCACTCCTAGGGCCTGTGAGAAGTGAATATGCCCTTCAGCTACTGCACTTAGCAATGGAGATTATGAGGCTGAATGAGGTCAGGTTCCTGCCTCAGAAAGGAGTCAGCCCTTAAAAGCAAGACATGGACAAATGCAATAGATAAAGTATGGTGATGCAAGAGCTATAAATTGAATATTATGAGTAGAAAAGGAGCCACATGCTCTGCTAAGCAATTCTGGTCCAGTAACAGAACCTCTTAAGTTTAATAGTCCTCTCTATGGATATAGTCCCTAACTCATAGTGTTGACTTGAGTTAATTAAATGAGAAACTACATGCATATGGTTAGGAATGAATAAATGTTGTCTTTTATTAGTACTTAACATTTGAGATACCTGTCATGTCTATTGTATAGCATTTGGTGTCATCATTAGTGGAGCTGTGTTACTCAATTTCAACCCTTGCTGTCCATCCAAATAAATCATGAAACCTGAAAAGACATACGCTGAGGTCCCATGTCAAGATTCTGATTCAGTGGCTCTAGGAGGGTGGGGGCTATCCATTTAGTTTCCACAGATAATTCTGATGTACAGCCACAATCAAGAATACTGACTTGGTTTGTGATAGATTTAACATTTTCAGATTCATTAGAGTATATATATTTTGTTTATATACACAGTAGTTGACTTGGGGTTAACAAACTTGTATCCCAGTTTGAATCATCACAATATAAGGAAACAGTAGAATTACTGTTCAAAAAAATAGTATGACAGAGTCAAGTTTAAGATCAGAAAGTTAAGGCATATTGAGAAGAATAGATCTAGGGGAGGTGATGAAACAGCAACCACCATTACTGGTTAGTCCATATTCAAAGAGAGAAATGCGTCAGAGGTCAAGATGTTACAGTTCGTCAGAAATCAAGTGGAAAAGGAAAAATCAAGGTTTGCATGGAAGGTCAGCGCAAACAGCAGGTGAGTGAGAGACAAGAAGGCAGAGGTGAACTGAAGATTCCCAAAGCTGGAAGGTAAGGCAGATGGTCAAAAGCCCAGGTAGGTGAGCAGGAACCAGGTGATTTACAAGTAAGATGAGCAGGAGCACACATACCAGGTAACAGCAAAAAGTGAGCTTGATTCCGAGGCAATCTTCATCCCTGGCAGGAACCTTCTTAAGTACGGCCTGCCATAGCAGGAACCGATCTAGACCTGTAGATGGAAGCAGATAAGTGAATGAAAATGAAGGAGATAAAATTGATGGTAGGAGGAACAGCACAAGATCCCTGATATATAATGTTAGACAACTACAAAGACATAAAACCTCTAAGGAACAATATTCATATTAAATGCTAATTCATAATTTTATCTCCAAGAAATTATGCAACTAAAAACATATATCAACAATACCATCTAAAAACAAAAATGGAACATGGAAAGTAACTTTCTTTCTTTCTTTCTTTCTTTCTTTTTCTTTCTTTCTTTCTTTTTCTTTCTTTCTTTCTTTCTTTCTTTCTTTCTTTCTTTCTTTCTTTCTTTCTTTTTTTCTTTCTATCGTTATTTCTTTCTTTCTGTCAGTCAGTCAAATAACAATTATTGAATGCCTTCTATTGTCAAGGCCATTACTCAGCACTATGAATAATGAGATGCCAAGTGTCTGCATGGATCTTATTGTTTATCAGGAGCAACAATGATGGAGTTACAATAGGGCATTAAGTTCAATGATACAGTTAACATGAGGGTGTCAGGGAAGAAAATGGAATTTGTAATTCCCAATGTGAATTTGAAGAATTTACCAGAATTAGGGGAGAATGTAATCTGAATGAATAGTATGGGCAAGGACATGACGGTGTAAGAGGATCCGACCTGTCTGAGGATTTAGAAATAATTCAATATGACTGGAGTATATGCTATGAGATTAGCAAGAATGGAAAGTTGAGTCTAAAATACAGACAAGGGACCTCAAATGAAAGGTCAATGTTAAAATGTCTGGACTTTATCCAAAATATCATTTTCTCTGATTTTAAATAATGTGAAGTTTTATCCAAGGATCTGCAACAGAAAATGTAAGATGAAATTTAAAAAATGACATATATGAATTCAACCGTGCAATTACAGTAAGAAAGTAAGACTTCTGGTTAAAAATAAACTGTTTTAGTCACAGTCTGAAAATAGATAGGGGCCCCTTTAGGGGGGAGAGAGAAAATAGTGTTCCAAATGTTTACATCAAATTTATTCTGTCTTTTCCAGGATTTAGTATTTAAAATTCATCTCAATAATGTCAACAGAGATCATATAAAGAATGCTAGACAAATCTACCTTTATTCTATATTTTTTTAAATAAATGTAAACCTGACAACATTTCTGTCAATAAAGGATGGGTATAATAGTTATAGCATCAAACAAAAAGGATGTGTTGATTTAACTACAAATGATTAGAGATTTTTGATAACTATACCTTTTGAATTATATGAGAATATGACATGGACTTAGGGAACAGATCTAGTGAGGAAATTTATTTAGGGATTTTATCACCTTTTCTAGTCATCTATTCTAGTCATCTACTCAATATTGTTTCCTATTATCAGGATGCTAGAAAAATATCTACAACTGAATGGTTTCAAGATACTATAAATTTATCCTCTGCAGCTTCAGCTGGGCTCCACGCCCTAACCAGCATAATTTAGTGAGCAGCAACCTCTCAATTTTCCTAGTGGTTATGTCAGATTTTCACCTTTACCCAAGACTCCTTGCTCACCCCTGCCTTGCTTTTACTGTCTGGATATAGGAATTGAGTATAAGAAGTTACATATACAATCAACGATAGAGGAACAGCGGACAGCCAAGAAATGTGTCCACATTTAGGGCATAATAGGATGATAGTGGTCTTTAAAGAAGACCAAAAAGGAGGGGACAGAAAATTAGGAGTTTTAGTGTCACAAAACTCAAAGAAAGAGTATTTCACACTGGAAGTAGAAAACAGAATCAAATGTCATGTAAGGTCAAGTAAGTTACAGATCAAAAGTGCCCACTGAATATGGCAATATGATAATACAATAAGTAGAAACTTTATTTCAATAGTAATTTCAATGGAGTAATGAGAACAGAAGCCAGTTTGCAGTTGGCTGAACAGCAAATGAAAATGATAAAAAGGACAAAGTTAATATATACTCTCTTTAAAGGTTGGAGGAATAAAGGAAGTTTTCATTGTGATATGGCAATGGTGATAGTGGTAGAGAAGGCAGCAGAGGTAACAGTGAAGATGGTAGAGGTAGAGGCATAACAACTGTGTTGGTCTTGGAGGTGACAAAGGTATTAGAGATGAAAGTGGTGGTGGTGGTGGCACAGGTAACGAAGTAGTGAGGTGATGATGGCAGGGGAAATGGTGGTGATGATGGAGGTGGCGATGATGGTGATAGTCAAGCTGGAGGTAATGGTGATGATTTAAGAGGATATAGTAGTTTTATTTTTTTTTATTTTATTTTTTTTAATAAATTTTATTGTTATATTCCCCATACAATTGCAGCCCCCCCATTCTGACCCCAATCCTTCCCCTCCCGCCCCTGCCCCCCTAAAAGTGTCTCTGGTTCATAGTTTTTTGTTGATTTTGATTTTCACTTTCTTATAGTTATTCATTTTCCTGGTCCCTTATTTAAGTTTTCTAGATTCCTGCTATGAGTGAGACCATCCGGTATTTTTCTTTTTCTTTTTGGCTTATTTCGCTGAGCATGATCCCTTCCAGCGCCATCCATGTTGCTGCAAATTGCATGTGTTTATCTTTTTTGAATGCTGAGTAATATTCCATGGTATATATGTACCACATCTTCTTGACCCAGTCATCTATTTTTGGGCATTTGGGTTGTTTCCAAAGCTTAGCTATTGTAAACAGTGCTGCTATAAACATAGGGGTGCAGGTGTTCTTTGGAATTGATGTTTCTGTGTCCTTTGGGTAAATACCTAGGAGTGGAATTGCTGGATCATATGGAAGCTCTATGTTTAGTAGGTCCAGAAATCTCCACACAGCTTTCCACAGTGGTTGGACCAGTTTGCACTCCCACCAACAGTGCAGAAGAGTTCCTTTTTCTCCACACCCTCGCCAACATTTGTTGTTGCTAGTTTTTTTAATATGTGCCATTCTCACTGGTGTAAGATGGTATCTCATGGTAGTTTTGATTTGCATTTCCCTGATGACAAGTGATGTTGAACATTTTTTCATATGCCTGTTGGCCATTTGCAATTCCTCTTCAGAGAAGTTTCTTTTTAGCTCTTCTGCCCATTTTTTGACTGGATTATTTTCTTTGTTGTTGTTGAGTCTCATCAGCTCTTTGCAGATTTTTGTGATCAGTCCTTTATCATTAGTGTTGGGTGCAAAAATGTTCTCCCAGTTGGTGGGGTTTCTCTTTGTTTTTGTTATTGTCTCTTTTGCTGTGCAGAAGCTCTTTAATTTGATGTAGTCCCAGCTGTTTATCTTTGCCTTCACTATCACTGCTTTGGGTGATGTGTCTGTAAAGATGTCTTTGATGTGCAAATGACGTAGTGTTTCGCCAGGATATAGTAGTTTTAAACACAGAAAAAAAAGTGAGCATATTTATTCATGAAGCTTAAAGAATCAGTATCAGAGAAAAGAAAAGAAAAGATGGAGTTGGTTCTAGAAGAAAATAGAGGGTAGAGGACATATGGAGGTTAGTGGACATAGGGAGAGGGAACAACTTCCACAGCGCCTCCTGCAGTTCTCCAAATGTGACATGCCTCTCAGACTTTGCGCGGGTGCTACTCTTTCAGCCGAGAACACCCGTATTTCCCCCTCATCTTTTACATATAGAGCAGGTCTTCAGAGAACATCCTTTCATTCTATATCCTTCAGTTATAATGTTGATGAGGGAAAAAAATAAATCCTGGTTGTCACTGAAGGAAAAGATATTATTTTGTTTCTAGGACCTATTTTCCTCATACCTTACTTAAAGTCACAGTTTTCAAGAACCTATCAAAAATCTTAAGTGAGGAATTAATGTAACATCTACTTTTGTCTCAAAGTACGTTTCAGAATCCACCCCTTTCAGGAAAAGGTTTTCTAATTCCTCCCCCCCAGTTTCATTAGGATGCAGTTCTCTGGGCTTCCATAACACACAGCACATATTCCATCGAGGACTTTTCATACTGTATTATAATTGCTTTAATCTCCTAGAATATTAGATCTATGAAAGTAAACAACATGTTTCAATTTTTAAACAAATTAACATACCACTTGCACTACTTACAGAAATCTATTGAGCATTTACCATATGCCAAGCAATATCAAGCAAATTTCAACTCATCTTCTGTTTTTGAAACAAAGTTTTATTCGAAAGAGTCACACCCATCCATTTTTTTATATTAACAGCTGCTTTCACATAAAAATTGTGAGTTGAGTACCTCCCTGATGGCACAAGTGTTAAGATGCAACCTATAAAGCTGTCTGCAGTCACTGCAGCACAAATTCGATCCCCAGCCAGGGAGCTACCTACATGGCACAGCAGACCTCTCCTGACTCACCCGCTCCTCCCTTCAGCAGTGTATTTCAGTCAGTCTGCCTATACAGTTCCCGACTCTGTCTCTGGTGAATTCTCTCAGCCCCCACACCTCTGGCCTGTACACCAGTTCTCATGTACATAAATAAATACATCTTTACATAAAATAAAATGGTGAGTTGAGTAGTTGAGAAACTATATGGTATGTAGATCCCAAAATATTTATTATCTGACCATTTACAGAAAAAAATTTACCAATCCCTAGTTTAATGAATAGCAATACAACAATGAGCCAGTCCAGTCCTACAGGAGTCTATACTTCAGCTGGAGACACATAATTACAGCATAACGTGATATTTTGATAACACAAACTAAAGTGTTAGGGAAACACATAAGTGAAATGTTGAATCTAAGCTTTGGGAGATCAGGGTTGTTTTTTTTTTAATTTTTTAACATCTACCATCTAATACTGGCTCACATATTGTGGACCAATTTTTTTAAGGGGTTAGCTAATTTAGAACATAGAATACTAGGGTAAGATGTTAAGGAATATAGTTGAGACATCACTGCAAAAGAATACAGATATTTTCACCACAAGGGAACTAAATTAAGATCTCATTTAATCATCACATCCGGTTCACTGTAAAGCTAATTTGTCCAAAATTTTCAGGCTTGTAACCTGTTCCAAAGAGATGAGACTCCAGCTGTGGTCTTCCCAGCAGAAAACCGGAAAGTCTGGTTCTGGTGGCTGGTTCTAAAAGGCTGACTGTAACACTCGCTGGCAACTAGGGGTCCTACATAATCTTCATAATGTGCTTTTTTCAACTTCTTTCAGAATATTTTATTGTGAATTTGTAATGTTAAAGTCTATCCTAAATATGTCTACCCTATTCTAAATATCCTAATATCCTCATGGTTTCTCTTTATTTTACATATATACACTCCTCCTACATTATTCTCAAAATTATCTCACAAAAAAAAATACATCTATATAGACAGACATGATCTATCTATCTATCTATCTACACACACATGCACACACATACATACACACAATGCCTTCACAAGTATAATATAATCTCATATTTTTTAAGAAATACGTGTATAAGTCAAATCTAATACATACATATGTATATACAGATTTTTATTTTTTTAAAGATTTATTGATTTATTTATTTATACAAGCACTGGGTACAGTCAGAAGTGCGGGAGGGTGAGAGAATTCACCAGAGCCAGAGCGGGGAGCAGAACAGGCAGAAGGACCGAAGTACACTGCTGAGGGGAGTAGAGGGCGGCAGGAGAGGTCTGCGCGCCATGTGGGACCCTCCTCTGATGGCCGAGGAGCAGCCGGGGATCGAACCAGCGCTGCAGAGGCTGCGGGCAGCTTCGCAACCCAGCGCTCAACCACTGTACCACCAGGGAGGCCCTGTATATACAGATTTATCCTACATCAGAGATGGCAAATAGGTTCTACTAAAGGGTCAATACCAATCAATCACAGAGTTGACAAAGTTTGCAAGGTCACCTTTGGGCACCTAAGATCTAGATGACCATAATTCATTAGCGATGCTTCCTTGGATCGCAGAGGTGAAATGGTGGTCATGGGTCAACTTATTTGCCGTTCTTGAGTCTTAAGGCTCTCACATATTTACAAATTTCTTAGAAGTACTCTTGCCCTGAGCTTACCATGGTAAATGGACAGTGTCTCTCCCAAGGACTGAAACAGGTAGAAAAGTTCTTGCTGGTGAAAACCTTGACAGAAAGGATGAGAATAATAATAATTCACATTTGCAAAGAATAATTTTCTTCTTGGTGCTTTTCTATATTTTTAAATTTTCTATATGCTTGAAAATTTTTACTTTAAAAAATAAAATCAGGGCTTCCCTGGTGGCACAAGGGGTACAGACTCAGCACTATGAAGCTATTGGCAGCCACGACAGCATGATTTCCATCCCCGCCCAGGTTGCTGACCCACATGGCACCGCAGACCTCTCCTGTCTTGCCCACTGTTCCCCTCAGCAGTGCATTTCAGTCAGTCTGCCTGTTCTGCTCCCCATTTGGTCTCTGGTGAATTCTCTCACCCCCTACCCTGCACCTCTGGCCTATACCCCAGCTCTCACACGTATAAATAAATAAAATAGATCTTTAAAAAAATAAAGAAAAGGAAACTACAAGGAAAATTCAGAACCACATAAATAAAAATTATTCTTTAAAAAATTATTCAGTAAGTCATTGTGAAACCTCAGTGTTTGGGGGTATAAGAGAGTCTTCTGATCAAATCTGACCTTGAGAAACACTGTAATATCTGAAATAAATTATCTTTAACTTTATTTCATCCTATAACTTGAAAGAATTGTTACTTAAGAACAACTTCCTCTGGCACATTACAGCAAGTGTTACCAGAGTACTAAATATTTTTGTGAAACAATGAATGATAAACTTTCCAACACCCCATAAAAATTGAAAGATAAACAAAAACAGGCTCTCTGTACCATTTTTATAAGAAAATATAAATTAAGAGATAGTTTTGCATGTATTCTTTTAAAATCATAACATAAAGCATTTTAATTTAAGATCAACTTAGATATTGGGGATATTTGGACACAAACTGCATTAATAAATGTCCATCTCTGCAGAGGAGAGCCCTGTCAATCACAACAATCACAGAAAGGGCTAGAGACACAAAGTTGGGTCTTAATGAAGGAAATAACAGTATAGTTGTGGACACCTTCATTTTAAAATGGCAGACATGACAGAAGCCTCACAAAGAGAAACAACATTTATCCCCTTGACCTCCCTTCAACAAGATACTGTTGCTATGGTGATGACAGCCCCATGGCTGAGCAGTGTCAGGAGGTTATAGTTTGGGGAGGACAAGCTAACATTTGTGTGGGCCACTTTGCTTACTCAGCAACCTGACCAAAGAAAATCCTGTACAGTTTAAAGAAAATGTTTTTTTTTTTTTAAATCCCATGGTCTGAATTCTGTCTTTGTGATGAAGACTTTCAAATGTTTATCTCCAGCCTGGTCCTCTCCTCTAAGCTCCGGAGGTCCACTCCAGAGCTCCATTGGATGCCTGATTATTATCTGGAATTTCACATAATCAAAACAGAACTAATCATTCCCTCCCCACCCCCGCCTCCACCGCCAGCACAATTCCCAGCCCAACCATGAACACAGCCGCAACTGAAATAAACTGCACTCCCATCAACCCAGTTGTTGGACCAAAACCTGTCCTTTTAATAAAAACCTAGGCCTCATCATCACATGCCTGTTTTAATTTCCTTAATAGTGCTTGAAATGACCTTGTTTGTTCACACATCTATCTGACTCTGACTATTGCATCTTGCAGGAAAGTCATCTGATGAGTTCACGATATTCCTACTATCTAAAATAATGCCTGATATATAGCAGCTACTCAATAAATATTTGACTGACTCTCCCTATTCCTACGCTACCACTTCCTTTCTTTATAAGTCTCCACAATATTTTTCAGGCTGCGGTATATCTATAGATAATTTACTCTCTCTGCGTACTTTTTTCTTCATTGATAAGATGAGGAAGATTAAAAAATCTACAAATTTTCCATTTATGCTAAAAATTCATGACTCTGATCAAAGTTTAACTGAGTTATACTCTTTTTCCACTCAATTCACAATGTGATGTCCATTTAACTCTTTTCTTATTGCACTAACAATCACGTACTTAGACTTCTTAAAGTAGTTTTGTTTCCATTATTTCCTGACACCTCAAACTCCTGGAGTATTTTATTTATTACTTGTTTTACAGATGAAGAACTACAGGCTCAGAGGGGGTATATGAGTTGCTCAAATTCTTCATGCATCTTATTGCATAAAGCCAATCTGTTATGAGTAAAAGCTGCTGGCATGGTTAATATTTTAAATATTTTTATAGTTATGGTGCAGATGCAGAAATTATAAGAAATAGTCTCTCTCCAAAGTATTTTTAATAAATATTCATCATCATATGTGTGGCTTAAGGGAGTTAAAAATGATTTTCCAGTTTTTCCAAGGATTTTATTATACTGAAGTCCTTTCTTTAAGAAAAGCCACTGACATGTTTAAACTTAAGTGGACAAAATATGAGTAAATGTACACCCTAACCATTATGCAGTACTGTCCAATATTTTTCCCATTTGGCATCATCTTTAGTAAAGACACTGCTCTAAAAAGTCACTGATGTGAATAGAAATTCAGAATAATCAGAAATATTTTACTTCAAATCTCCTTACTGCTTCTGTGGCTTTCAATAAGTCACAGTTATCCTTATTTTCATCAGTATATGGTACAAAGAACAACTACTTCTTAAGAAAAATGTAAAAATTAAACACTGTAAATATTGTTGCCTGGTATATAGTAGACACTCAGCAAATGTGAGCTATTCCCCATTCTGTTAACTTGAAGAATAACATATCAATCTATTCACATGGTAATAATCGTAAGGAAACGGGATGAGGAAAAGAAAAAACAAGATAGGACTAGATTAAAGTGCTGGGTAAATGTTACTGAATGAGTCACTTACTATAAACAGGTACCAGAACTACATATTTTGATAAAAGCAATGTAAAAGTAAAGCTCAAATATTCTCAGTGCAATATGACTACTTTCCCCAAAAAGAGAAGGGCTGGCATTTTCTTTGCAATTATTTTAACTGAATGATTTCCTTTAACTTGAGAGTTTTGTTTTGTTTTGAGGTAACACTGGTTTACAACACCATTTTTGTAGAGGTATAGTACCTCCCCCTTCAGGTATTATTACCACACCACACCCACCACCTAATTTGGGGGTTCCTATAGGACTATGTAGCTTCTGGACACCATTTGAATGTCCCCACATCTAAGTTGGCTATTGACTATTATTCTCAAATCCAGAGACAGCAAATGAGAATTTTCTCCATTCTAATTCATATCTATAATCTGGGAGGAACAAAGTAAGTTGGGGGAATAATGTTTTTAAGTAGCCATAAAGAAAGAGCTCTGGCTTGGAAACACAGGAGTCTTGAGGAATTGGGTGTCACAAAGAAGGCACAGAGATTCCAAGAACTAAAGAAGCAATATTTCAAAAGCTGGACTAGATAAACTTTAGTCTTTCAATCTCCTAGTTTAAACCTTCCTTCAAAAACGAATTATACAAATCCCTACAATTACAGTATATTCTTGCAACATGTTCAAGAAAGCTTGAGTTCAGTAGTTTGTGTTTGATATTTGTGCATAGATATTTATTGTATCCTAATTTCAGAAGGTCATCTTGTAGAAGGTGCAAAGTGGAGGATATGTATGACAATGAGGAAGAAACTTGTTTTCTTACTCTGTTGTTTTCATTTGCATTTCCCTGATGAACATTTTTCATGTATTTTTTGTCCATTCTAATGTCTTCTTCGGAGAAATGAGATACTAATTCATACCCATGCGATTGGTCTATCTCAAGAAGACCATAAACAAGTGTTGGTGAGGATGTGGAGAAAAAGGAACACTTTTACAGTGTTGGTGGAAATGGAGACTGGACCAGGTCCTTTGGAAAACAGTATGGAGATTTTTCAAATTATTAAAAATAGATTGACCATATGATCCAGCAAGACACTCCTCATATCTATCTGAAGAATGCAAAACAATTACTTGAAGGGATATATTCACCACTATGTTCATTGTGCCACTATTTATAACAGACAAGCTAGGGAAACTCCTAAGTGCCCAATGACAAATGAACAGATGAAGAAGATATGGGGTGTGTGTGTGTGTGTGTGTGTGTGTGTGTGGTAAATGATGGGGTGTATATACATATATACACACATATATATACATATATATATGATGGGGTACTACTTAGCTATAAATAAATGAACTCTTGCCATTTGTGACAAAATGGATAGAACTGGAAGGTGTTATGCTAAGCAAAATATGTCAGAAGGAGACAGACAAATAGATGCTTTCATTCATATGTAGAATACAAAGAAACAGAACAAAGGAATAGATAAAACTAAACCAAACCAACCATAAAAATCTGACTGTGGAATTAAGGCTACCAAAGCAGGAGATGACGGGGGCAGAGTAAAATGGGAAGGGGTCCAATGGACTATGGTGGGGGACTCCTGGTGCTTTAGTGGTGGGCATGATATGACACATACATACATACATACATACATTACACAGGTGCGAACTACACTTCTAAATCATATACTGTCTTGCAAGTCAACAATACTATAAATGGTATACAGTGTTGTTACCACAGTAAAAATGACACCATTTGTAAAATACTACCCCATGTTCTTCTCTTAAATTGAAGAAAAATTTAGTAAAATATTTTATATTGAACAACAACAAAAAGGCTAAGCCCCAATGGAGAAGAGCTTCCCTTTGTTCCAAAGCAGTCAATACTGTGGCCACTATGATGAAAAACATTCCTAATAGGATTTTTCTCTCTCCTGTTCCCATCTTCTGGTTCACCTGACACCTCCCAATTCAGGAATTCTACACCAGCAACATGTCACCAATCCTTGCTCTCCATTTTGCTACCCCCATACCTACCTTGCCAAATCTACACACACACACACACACACACACACACACACACACACACAGAGTGTTTTGGAGCCTTTAGAATAAAAATCTAATGGCATTGTTTCTAGATAAGTGGGAATTTCTGTTTTAAGGGAAGCTGTAAAAATTGTAACCAAGAGACTGGTTATAACCAACAGTCTGCTATTTCCATGGCACTTTACAAACACTATCCTTTTTAGCCTCACAACAATCTTAATAAATACATAAACTAGGAGGGATTAAATGGTAATACTCCTGGAATGTGTGATGCAGAGGGCCTGGAAGCCTGGATTACGGAGAGAAGAAATTCCTAGGGCATAATCCTGAGCCCACAAGCCAAGCTGGTAAAGGGAATGCTGGGGCGGGCAGCAGTCTTGACAGAAAGTCAGAGGTGGATTCATTTATTGATATTATAGGTCCAAAGAGTCTTATACTCACTGGACCTTCAATGGAGATGAAAGGCAGGGAAGAAGCAAGGTCCATACTTAAAATCCAATACATCTAGACTTGGCATGAGTCATTTTTTTTTTGATGGGTTCATGGGATTATGTTATGAATTCATATTTTTCATGGAGGAAGGGGTTTCTAGACTTTAAAAAAATAGCAAGAAGAAATCTGAGTCTGAACGCTACCATTAGTATGTGCCAGGTTAAGTAATGTGAGACTGGTGGGCTTCAATGGTGTGAACTTGGCACTGCACCATTTTCACACACACAAACATAGGGCTATCAGATTGTAAGCTAACTTGAGGGCTAGACTCTCACAGATACAGTGATAATAAGGGGAGGCAGGGAATGGAAAAGGGGCTCAGTAAGGATCTAGATGATTGGGCCACACCAGCCAGGCATCAGATCCCATCCATGCCTCAGGTCCACCCTCCCAGGTCTACCAGAGGCCCCTTCAGTACTGGTAGAAAACTCGACAAGCAGTCATCTGCATTGACAGCTCTTTCACTGTAAATATGAAGATTACCTAAAAGTAAGCAATTAACAAGAAACCCACCTGGAAGAACCTTTAGCCTGACTGCAGTGGCCGCCCCGGGGCCCTCAACTATGGCAGGAAGTGGGGTGAAACCAGTTTCACCATGAAGCTCTTTAGTAAAGTGAATATTCTAAGTGGGGCTCCGTGGGGGTGTTGTAATTATGCTGGGGGGGGGTGGCGCGGGGGGGGGGGGGTGGTGCGGGGGGGGGGGGGGGGGAGGGGGTATCTTCCTACAAATCTGTTCAAAAACCTACCTTCCCAGAAAAGCAAGCAGTGGGCTGAGGAACTGCACTTGCACTTGAACTAAAAAATTAGCACTTTTGCCTCCCAGACCTGAGTAAGTTTCCTGCCTCTGAACCAAAGTCAATGCAAATTTTATCTACATTGCACTTCCTAACAAATAAGTCTGCACTATTTTGTTTCTTAAACCCCATCACTTATCTCCTGAGATACTACCTGGGAAAGCGGTCACGTTTATCCCCGGGGCCAGGAATTTTGGACAGGGAAGCCTTGTTTAGAGGAGAGGCCCAAGGTCACCGGCGAAGTAGGCTGCAGATAAGTCTTCGCCCCAGATTGGCGCCGTGTCTTCTTGGCTGCCCCCAGACAGGCGGCGGTCGCCACAGGAATTTTCCCAGGGAGAGGCAGTGCTAAAGGGCACCTCAGGTCTACACTGCGGCCCTCAGCGCTCCGCGGCTCCAGCGCATTACCTGGGGCGAGCAGGACCCCGCGCGGGACGCAGCCCAGGCCGGCAGCCGCCCGGCAGGGACCGCGGCTGGCTCGAGAAGGGGGTGGCGCGCCGCAGGCCCTCCCGCCTCAGCCCGGTCCCCCTCACCCCGCGGGGACTCGGAGCTCCGCAGTGCGCCGCCTCCGCTCCGAGCGGCTTCGGAAGCTGAAGCTGCAGAGACGCGGCAGGGGCCTGGCGACAGGGACGGAGCCCGCGGGTCCGGAGCGCAGGCAGAGCGCCCCGAGCCCCCGGCGCGCGGTCCGCACCGCGCCCAGGTCGCCGCGCCCCACCTACCGGTGCCGGCCCTCGGGGCCCCGCCCTGCTCCCCACTGCGCTCGCGGCCCTGCCGGGCCCGCCAAGCAGCAAGGGCCGAGGGGGCGCCGGGACCCCAGGGCGCGGGCGGCGGAAGCCCCACGTGTCCCGCCCGGGACCGCGCGGGCGGAGCGGGCCAGGCCCGGCTCCCCGCGCCGAAGCGCACACCCGCCGCGGTGCCAGGTCCCGGCCGAGCCCGCCCCCGGCCCAACCGCGGCCCGGCCTCCGGGGCGCGCGGGATGTCTCCTCCTGGACGGCGCGATGCGGTGCTGCCGGCAGAGCAAGGGTAAGACGGGGTGTCTCTGGGGGAATTGGCTGCAGGTGCCCGCGGGCACGGGAGGGCCGCTGGTCCTCTGAGGTCCAATGAGGAGGGCGGGAGATGGTGGTTCTGGACACTGGGCCCGCCCCTTCCAGTGCAGAGGTGTCGGGGTGCTGAGGAAGGCACAGGAGGCGGTCGCGGTATCCCTGTTTGATTGGCTGGTGCGATGGTCGGGCTAAACACCTCTTTGCAACTGGCAAGGTGGACCAGGCCGTCGGTGTTGGGTGTCCTTTCAGTGATTTGCCCTCTGCAGTGCAACGTGGAAATTGTGCCTTTTGATAAGGAAGGTTGAATACAGTATCAGGGACTCCAAAAAGTAGGCTTCAGCAGATCTCTCCAAAGACCTGGAAGGGCCCAAGTCCCCAGGAAAACTTTCTGCTTCCTGACTGTTTTTCACACAGATCATTTGAGATGAGGAGGGAGGACGCACTTGTCATCAATATGTTGTAGAAGGGCTCAGTTGATGCGCTAGAGAGTCTCATGTAGGGTGGTATCAACAGGTTTGAATTTAAAAAATAAATGAATTGTAGCCAGGAAGAGATTCTTAAAGCTTTAAATGGAAGGAGTCACTTGGGGAAAATTGTTTTCCTGTTGTTTTTAACTTGTTCTCTGGTGTTTTGCAATACTAGGCATCAAGGCCAGCAGGAAACGCCACAGCTAGACTCCTTATAGGATCCCTAGTCCTGACCCCTGGCCCAGGGCAGCAGATGCAAAGAGCAGTTCCAGTGTCTGAATCACCCCCCTTTAGAAAGTGTCAAACTTGAACCCCACAGTTCAGCATTTGCAACCTAAAGTTTCTGCAGCAGCATTGTCAGCTTAGAAATTCCTCTGGCACAGAGGAGGCATGCTCACTTCTTGCTCCCCAAAGGATGTCCTTGGAGGCAGAGAAAGTCAGTTAACTGTGGTAGTACCAAGTTTTCTGCACTGCCACATTTGGGAGAATAATATCACCTGTTCTTTTCGGAGATGGGACCAGGTGACATTATGTTTTTATATGCTTCAGACACTAGAGCAGCAGTATATTATAATACAGCTTTTGGGTACTTATTGACAGTAACTTTTAATATCGAATACATTTAAAACAACACCATTCAATTCTTGATTTTCACAGCTAAATTATATTTCATTAACTTGCTTTACATTCAGTAGTCTTTAAAGTGATAGCATAATTGAGACCAGATAATCATATAAGTTCTTAAATACTGGTGTCCTTAAAAAAAAAAAAGGAGCAAACCCCACTTTCACAGATAAGTAATTAGAATGGCAGAGAGTAACTTTTCTAGAGTCATGATTCAGTCAAGGACAAACTCAGAATCAATTGTCTCTTAACACCACATCTGTGGTTTTCTCCTCTCTTAGTAAAGGTATGTAAGAGACAGGCACAAAAGAATAATTTTACAAACTTATGTTTGACATAGCTTAAAGAAGGTGTAAAGGGTCTGTGACTATAAAGTAGCATGAGGGAGATATCTGTGGTGAATGAAGAGCTGTGTATCTTTATTTGTGATAAGATATCATATAGCTCTACACACTTTGCACCTATGTCAATTTCCTGCTATTGATATTATGTAATAGATAACTATTATGTAACACATTGTGATTGAGGGAAACTGGGAGATGGGTCTATGGGACCTCTCTGTACTATCTTTAAAATTTTCTGTGTATCTATAATTATTTCAAAATAAAAATTGTTTTTAATCATTTTGTAAGTACAGCAAATTCCATCATTGGCGATTGTGCTAAATCTGAATATACAAACAATACCTTGTTTTGCTATATATGCTATGTTTAAGTGTGTTTAAAAAACTAATGCCTTGAAACTTTTTCATTTGCTACTGTAAAAGAACACATGCACTTCCAAAGTATTATTTCTCTTGTGAGGGTATCAGTATAGCCTAGATTTAAAACACAGCATTTAGCAATAGCTAGTAATTTAAGATTATTTATTTAAATGTTGGAAAACAGAGAAAGTGGTTCCTTTGAGTAGTTATTATTCTAAAATAAGTGTTTTTTTTTTAATTGGGGGGGGGAATCCTGCAAGAAAATACTGAGGTCTTAAATATACAATTAGTCTTTATTCTTTCTCTTAGCTGAATATTTCCTGTGTTTCAAGTAGTCAAATAGATATCACCAGGCAGAAGAGATAAAAGGAGATGGGCTTCCTATACATAGACACCGATGCTCATAAAACTTCTTTCTTTAAGAGAAACAGGAATGAAAATAAGTTAACTGCAGTAGCTAAAGAGTCTGTTTTAAGAGCTGCTCTCAGCAACTTCAAGGTGTTTCTTCTTTGGGGATGGCCATTAATGCCAAGAAACCCCAGAACACCCAACTGCCTCCCTAAAGGAGAGAGAAAACTAAAACTTTGGACCTCCTATAGACTGAGGTCCTAGCACATCCTGGCAAAAAGGAAAGGAAGGTTCTATGTGCACAACCTCTGACCAAAGAAGCATCCTTCTCCATGGGAGAAGGCACTATTTCCAGAATTTCAATTACTCGAGAACACTTCACAATTTTTAACCATTTCTAAATACAAATGGTACTATTATTCACTTAATATTACATTCAAGTTGATACATGATTTTTATAAATTTAGCTTCATTTAAGGATTCATAGCCATGAAAATGCCAAGAGAGATTTATCCATGAGCCACATAAAATGATCCTGGGTACCCCCAGAGGTACACCCAGCACATGGGGAAGCTTTATGATGGCAGGCAGGAGTGCTCTGGGTAGTGGAGAAGGAAACAAGCCTAGCTCCGAGGAGCAACTCATCATCAGTGATAAAATAGGAGAAAACTAGGTCACCCCATATCCTAGTCACCACTCAAGAAATAACCTGTCATCTCTTCTAGGGAAAAAGACAATTTTCATTAAGTTTTTTAAACTATAAAATATTCCTAAAATTAATTTTTTATCAGAGTAGCCCATCTCTGCAAGAATATTTAGCTCGAAAGAAGCTAAAAGCTATATTTGGTTTCCATTTCCATAATTTATGGTAATGACTATTCAGATTGTCTCCCAGGCTCAGTCACCAAGTCATATGTGTTTAGGCTGTTTCAGTCTCTTTTCTCAGAATATGTTAACTCAGTTTTTTTAAACTATATGGCATTGGTTTGGTGTAGAAATCCCTTTGGAAAAAAAAATCCATGAATGAGAAAACCTTTACATTCAGAGTGGATTTTTGAAAACTGTATGAGAAAATATAGGTGGGTGAGTGTGAAAAGACCTTCTTAGAGTTCCTACAAATTTCTTTAAGGAACTTAACTCATTGTGCTTCTGCTAGTTCCAAAATGAATATTTACGATCATCCAACTTCAGTGACAGTGTTTGTTCATCAAAAAGAGAAAACACCAACAGTTTTCTATAACAACATGTGGCTTGCATGTGGCATTCTTCAGGGCCATGATTCTTTTTTATTTAAATAATCTATTTTCAAACATTAAAATGATCTGTTGGCTGTTCTATTGTAAGGCCAGCCCATCTCATCATTGGGAGCATCCAACTATCCTTATATCGAGATTACATTTGTTGGGGGTTTTTTTGTATTTTTTTTTAGCATTTAAGTGATCAAACTTTTAATGTATATTTACAAACTAATATCAGATTTGATTATCATAAGTCAGGGGAAATGTAACAAATATGTTTTCAAATTTTATGGTTTAACTCTTGATATTCTTAAATACAGTATGGTTTACTTAGAATCATAGACTCAAGGCCATAGTAGGAATCTTAGGACTTGTAAAACTGAACCCTGTCATTTTCCAGAAGTCAAATCCACATCCTTAACAAGTAAAATGGCCAAAGATCACACCAGCCTCAGAGCCACATTTTGAGCCCAAATGTTCTCTTTTTTTGCCCAAAGTTATACAACTAAATATTGATAGAACTGGAAGTAGATCTTAAACTGTCTCTTTTCTTCTCTACATAACTTAGTATTTTACTATCTCAGAGAGGCATATAATTATCAAAGGCCAAAAAAAAAAAATACAAGCTGATACATGGCAAACTGTATAATGAAATAGGTATCCAAAGGGAAAAAAGTCATTAAATATAAAAAGTTTGTTCTATTTCAAATATGAAATTTATTTCATTTCTTGATTTCTCTTGTTTCTTTTTTTAATTTAAATTTTATTTTTATATTCTCCATACAATTACAACCCCCTTATTTTGACCCCAATCCCTCCTTTCCTCACCCCCCGCTCCCCATAGAGTGTCTCTGGTTCATAGTTGTTTGTTGATTTTGATATTTTCCTTCTTATAGTTATTCTTTTTCCTGGTCTCTTATTTAAGTTTTCTAGATTCCTGCTATGAGTGACACCATCCAGTA